TTGGCAAGGAACATGGTGATCTGTTGAAATGGCAGGCATCCAGAAGCTCAGGGTCATTTTTGCAGACAGAACGAAGGTGTTCTGCAAAGTGGTTGCCAAGTTAGCGCTTCATCTCCCCAATGTAAAGAAGACCACATTGTGAGCAGCAAATACAACAGACTAGATTGAGTGAAGCGTAGGTGAAGAGCTGTTTCACTTGGAAGCTGTTTCTGGGGCCTTGGATAGTAAGGAGGGGGGAGGCAAATGGACAGCCATTACACCTTCTGCAAGTGCACAGGAAGGTGCCATGGGGAGGTAAGGAGCTGTCGGGAGATGAGGAGGAGTGGACCAATGTGTCCCAGAGGTAATGATCTTTGAGGAAGGTTGAGGAATGTGTCGGGTGGTGGTATCCTGTTGGAGGTGGCGGAACTAGTGGCTAATGATTGTTTGGATGTGGATGCTGGTGGGATGGTAGGTGAGGATGAAGGGGGATCTCATCGCTGTTGAGAGAGGGAAGAGGGAGGCGAGGGCCAAAACGTAGGAGATGGGTTGGACCCAGCTGAGGACTCCGTTAACCCTGTCGTGGCCCAACCCGAAATATCGACTTTCCTACTCCTCAAATGCTGCCTGACTTGCTGTGTTCCTCCAGCTCCACACTGTGACACTAATAGCATCTTAAATTTGCTTAGTACATCCTCATCAATGGTGTGAACCTTGATCTTTTACTTATAAATTCTGCATCTGATACTACCTCTCTCACTAACACCTGAAGGAAGACTGAGGCTCTGAAAGCTTGTGTTTTCAAATAAACCTGTTGGACTATAACCTGGGGTTGTGTGATTTCTGACTTTAGCCTCGGGTAACCGTGTGGAGTTTGCACATTCTCGTTGTGTCTGCATAGGTTTCCTCCTACAGTCCAAAGATGTGCAGGTTAGGTGGATTAGCCACGGGAAATACAGGGTTACAGGGATAAGTTGGAGGGTGTGTCTGGGTGAGATGGTCTTTGGAGGGTCAGGGTGGGCTCAATGAGCCAAATGTCCTGCTTCTATACTGTGGATATTCTAAGAAGAAGGTGGACATTTCGGAGGCCCCCTTATCGAAATTGGCATCATCAGAAGAGATGTGACAGAGATGGAGGAACTGGGAGAATGGAACAGGATCTTTACAGAAAGCATGGTGTGAGGATTTATAGTCAAGGTAACTGTGGGAGTCACTGGGCTTGTAGTAAATATTGGTGGATATCTGCAGAACACCTATGTTCTGTCTGCAAAAATGACCCTGAGCCTCCAGTTGTCTGTCATAAGCTGGAAGAACAACACCTCATTTTCCACTTGGAACCCTTCAAACTTCTGGACTCAATATCAAATTCAATCATTTTAGGGCCTGAGCACCTTCTCCCATGTCTTTACCCAACCCCCACACACCAGGTCTTGTCATCACAAGGGTTGCTACCACAAACTACCCATTATTAGCCACATAAGCTCCCAAGCTGACCTTTGTTCATTCTTTGTCTGCCCAAATATTTTTCTCTCTGCCAACAAGGGTGGTGCTGTTGTAGGCTAACATACTGACCTCTACATTGCAGAGGCTGAGTGCCAGCTCTCAGATACCTCCTCCTATTTCCCTCTTGACCATGACCCCACCATGGGGCAGCAGGCCATTGCATCCACAGTGGTCACTAACCTCATTTCATGCTGTGATCTCCCCCTCACCACTGCCTCCAAGCTCAATCTTCCAACCCTGCACAGCTCACTTCTACCTCCTTCCCAAAATCCACAAACAGAACTGTCCGGGCAGATCCACTGTTTCTGCCTGCTCCTGCACAGCGGAACTCATCTCTTCTGACCTTCACTCAATTTTTTTCTCCCCTTGTCCAGTTCCTTCCCACTTACATCCGCAATTCCTCTGACGCTTTACGTCAGTTTCAGAATTTCCAGTTCGTGGGCTCCAGCTGCCTCCTCTTTACCATGAACCCGCAATCCCTTTACACAAACATTCCCCATCAGGATCTTCTCAGGGCTCTCTGCTTCGTCCTGGAAAAAAAAGGGCTAAAACGTCCCCATCCACCACCATCGTCCTCCACCTAGCCGAGCTCGTCCTCACTCTGCACAATTTATCTTTTAACTCCTTTCACTTTTTTCAGGTCAAAGGAGTGGCCATGGGCACCCGCATTGGCCCTAGTTATGCCTTTCTCTTTGTGGGATACGTGGAACATTCCTTGTTCTAGTCCTATTCCAGCCCTCACCTACAATTCTTTCTCCAATATATCAATAATATCATTGGTGTTACTTCCCTTTCTCCTCAGCAATTATAAAAGTTTATCAATTTTCACCCTGCTTTCAACTTAATCTGGTTCATCTCTGGCTTCTCCCTTCTTCGACATCTGTTTCTGGGGATAGGCTGCCCATAATATGCACTATAAGCCCACCAACTCCCACTACTACCTGGACTAAATATCCTCACGCCCTGCTTCCTGTAAAGACTCTATTCCATTCTCCCAGGTCCTCGGCTTCTGTTGCATCTGTTCTGATTATGGCAATTTTGACAGAGGCACCTCAGAAATGTCCACCTTCTTCCTCAACTCAGGATTCCCTGTAATTGACAGGACCCTCAGCTGGGTCTGACCCATCCCCTGCACTTCAACCTCACCCCCTCTCTTCCCTCCCCTTGTCCACACATACCATCCCACCAGCATCCACATCCAGAGGATTATTAGCTACCATTTCTGCCACCTCCAGCTGGATGCCATCATTAGACACACATTCCCGTCCCCTCCCTTGTCAGCCTTCTGCAAGGACGTTCCCTCTGGCACACCCTGGTCCACTCTTCCTTCAATCCCAATATCACACACAGCCCCACGGCACCTTCCCTTGCAACCAAAGAATGTGTAATACCTGCCCGTTTGCTTCCACCCTCCTCAGTATCCAAGGGCCCAAAACCTTCCTGGTGAAGCAGCACTTTACCCGCACTTCATTCAATTTAGTCTACTGCATTCGTTGCTCACAAAGTGGTCTCTTCTACATTGGGGAAACAAAGCATAGACTGGGTGACCACTTCGCAGAACGCCTACATTCTGTCTGCAAATAAAGACCCCGAGCTTCCTGTTGCCTGCCATTTCCACACACCACCCTGTTCCCTAGCAAACCTCTGTCTCAAGCTTGCTGAAGTGCTCCAGTGAAGCTCAGCGCAAGCTGGAAGAAAAGCACCTCATTTTCCACTTCAGAACTTTACAGCCTTCTGGACTCAATATTGGAGTTCAACAATTTGAGGGCTTGAGGTACCTTCTCCCATGCCCTTACCCAAACTCCCACACACCAGGCCTTGTTATCACATGGTCTGCTATTATACACTACCCATTGTTAGCCGTTAATAGTCCCCATTCATTCTCTTAGGCTGACCATTGTCTGCTGCTTTGTCTGTCCAACTGTTTTTCTCTCTCTTTATCGTTTACTCCTTAGCCTCTCTTCCCACCCTATTTTCTGCATAAAAGCCACTTTCTCCTAGCTACCAACAGTTCTGAAGATGGGTCACTTGGACCAGAAATATTAACTCTGCTTTTTTCAGACCTGCTGAGTTTTTCCAGCAATTTCTGAGTTTGTTTAAAATTTATTTATTATTTGTCTGAAACTGAGTCAGTGATATCATTGGTGTAATCACATCTGAGCTCACCACTAGCGGATTGGCAGGTATTGACAATTTCCTTTTTAAAAAGGAGTAAAAACAAGTTTCAATTTAAATCAATTGCAGTCTCAGCAAAAGTAATGTATATTAAAAGAAACTGATAGTCTTAGAAGGTGATTAACTTCCTGAACATTCAATACATCGTTCATTCTAGCAATTTGCACTCAACCCTTATGAGGGGCAGATGCACTCAAAGGTGGTGCGTAGTTGAATAGAACTTTTCATTTTACATAGTCGCATGCAGCTTCACATTCTCACAGTGAGTTAAAGCTCATGTTTACAATGCAAAGATATTTCAACAACCTCATCCACAACCCGTGCTACAGATCTTTGCCAAAACTTTAAAGATATTTCAACATATGCAGTGACAGCATAGCCTGATTAGCGTGTACAAATTTGAATTAGGGTGACCTATAATATCATTTCAGTCTCATCATTTTAACTGCTGACTGTCACCTTTCTGTAGTTCATAAAACAATTCAGTACCAAAAGCACTACATCAGCATTCAATCCATTCAACCCTTCTCTGCCTAGCATAACTGCAATTACCTGCAGATCTAGATAGAGACAACTGGGTTGGTGTAACATGACAGCGACTTAATAAAAGTCTTCAAAATATTAATGCACAATAAATTGTAAAGGGAATATCACTAAGTTTAATTTTAATCTGAAAAGTGTTGTGGTCTAACTAAATGACACAGAACTTAAACAGATTCAATTTTTTTTAAAAATCGATGGGGATTGCCCTATTACCATTTATTTTATTTATGTTCACATTTTTGCCAACATTTAAAACCCAACAGAGTGACCACACGGATATTTGATGCTTTCGAGACATGATAATTTTATGCTGAAAACAAGTGTATATTAGAGCGACTGAAACGTATTCTTGGCGTCAGCTAAACCCTGGAGTGAGCAACGCCTGAAAATATAAAGGAAACAAACAAAAACAGGTGAACTGTACGCTTCATACAAAAGGAACCCCTCGTACAAAAAGTAATTGTTGCACTGGATTGTACCTCTCGAAGAATGTTCGAATTCCACCGCATTTTCTGCAAAGTTTGTATTGAACTGTTTCGTACTTGTATTTGTTTACAATATGTATAAAATTACTTTTTGAAATTTAAAAAAATCAGAACATTTAGGAAATTTTATCTTTCGTTTCTCGAGAACGTTCAGAGAAAACGATCTGTAATTCCAGCTACTTTACTCACCTAGGAATCGTAGCGAAGAGGAAAAGCAATTTCAAAACAAACGCTTCTTTTTGTCTGGGAGTTGTAAGTTTATTGAGAGGGTACGGTGGGGGTCGTGCACGTTTACCAATGCTGCAGGTTCCTTACCTTAACGTACAGAGAAATCTCGAAAGGCTGGCCATGGTCACTGCTTTGGCTCGGGCTGCCGTTCAGGTGTCTGCCGTAAGTCTCGGAGCTCTGGCCGTCGCTCTGCACCTCTTCCAGCTCCTCCGGTGTGTCGAAGACCTCTTGGTAAACGCTGCAGTCGGGAGACTCACTGCCGCCGAAGGGCTGCTGATCGCTGAGCTCCCCCATGCTTTCCGGGCTGGAGGCAGCCGAATAGGACGAGGGGGAGCGGGCCACCTCTTCGTACTGCACCTCTTCATCCCCCTGCAGGGAATGGTTGTAAGTCAGCTCCAGATCCGTGTCGGGGGTTTCGTAGACGTTTCCTTCCAGGTCGTTCTCCATGGGCTCTTTTTTTTCTTCCACCCTTTTTACAATTTCGGATTGGCGCGGAAAATCCCCGTTGCTCCTTCGAAGGAGGAGAGTGGCGTCGCTCAGGGTGAATGTGAAACCAGTGCCGCGCCAGAAATCCGCGGGACCAGCGACTGACCTGAAAGATCCCACTTCAATATTTGCAAAGGTTCAAGTGCGAATAGATAAGGAGCGCCGCGGTTGTTATTGGATACGCAGCCCTTTTTCTAAAAACAAAGTCAGAATTAGTGGTCCGCTCGATATTCCGGCACAAAATCCAACAAAAAGAGATACCGTCTAACGGTGCAACGTGTTGAAACAACTTGTCTGAAACAGAATGAAATTTATAAGCGAAATATGTTTCAGGGTGGATCATTAACTACTCTGGTGACTTATAACTGACGAATGAATGCGTTGCTAAATTTCCTGCAACCCCCTCGTTTTAAAAAATTTTTGTTTTCACCGCCGATGCACATGGCTTTTAAAAGGTGTTCATATCTAAATCACAGATGTTTGACAAAGTTTTTGTTACCTGCTTGTTACAAAGTTGCTTTTTAAGATGAAACAACATAATAAGGCGCTTCCAGAGGCGTTGGGTAAAAGGAAGAGAACGACAAATTATAGAATAGCAATAAAAAGAAAGCAGGTAAAAGGGGGCGTGTGAGAAATATCGGGTTGATAACTCAGCTGAGGACTGGGCCGAATTCGAAACGTTCCGAAAGGAAGAAATGTGGAAAATAAGGAGGAAAGAGACTGACATAAAAGAAATACAATAAAGGCGAATGGGACAAGCTTCATTTCTTTTGCTGAGAGCCATTATGGGCATGAATGATACTATTCCTTTCCTGTATGATACTATTTTAAACATTGAACAAAGGTGAATATTATAAAAACAGATGTAGGCCATTCCAACCCTCGAGCCTGTTCTGCCATTCAGTGAGATTATAGCAGATTTGTGGCCTAACTTCATATACCTGCCTTTGTCAGATTTAAATTTAACAACTGATCCAGCATCCACTGCCACTTGTGGAAGAGTTACAAACCTTACCACCCTTTGTGTGTAGAAGAGCTTCCTAATATCTCTCTTGAATGGTCTGGCCCTAATTCTTAAACTATGCCTTGAGGTTCTAGAATCCCCAACCACTGGTAGTAGTTTATCTACCCTGTCTTTTCCTGTTAATATCTTGAAGACTTTGATTGGATCACTTTCCCTCTAATTCTAGAGAAAACAGGCCTAATTTGAATAATCTCTCCTCAAATTTAACCTCTGAAGTCCAGGCATCATTCTTATCAACCTACATGTACTCCCTCCAAGACCTGCATATCCTTTTAAGGTGTGGTGCCTCAGTCTGCTTACAGTACTCCAAGTGGAGATCTAACCAGACTTTTGTGTACCTGTAGCATAACATCTGCCTTATATGCCAGTCCTCTAGATATAAAGGCCAGTATTCAATTAGCTTTCTTGATTATTTTCTCACATCTTTGTGGCATTTAAAGATCTATGCACCTGAATCTTCATACCATCTAGAAAGAACCCTGATCTATCCTTTTTCAGTCCAACATGGATTACCTCACACTTGCTTACATTCAACTCCATCTGTCATAGTTTTGCCCATTCAGTTAGCCTATCAGTATCTCTTTGTAATTTTATTCTGTCATCTACACCATTTACAATGCCACCTAATTTTGTGTGCCATCAGAAAATTTAGATAAATGACTTTCTATGCCATTAATTTTAAGAAGTACTTCAAAGGAAAAAGATTAAAGTTGAAAAAGTACCTTGGGGTGCAATAATTTCTGTTGCTATAACTGCCTTTAATATGAAACAAAGTACGAAGGTGATGCACACACAGACTTAATGGTGTTGGACACTGACTGAGCCTGAATGCAAAGATGAGAGAAACAAAAAACAAATTTAGTACGTTCCTTGAAAAAAGGTAGAAAGAGGGGTAGAGATAGAGAGATTTAAGGAGTTTCAAGATTAGGATTGAAGTAAATGAAAGAGTGAGGCTGTTTCAAAGACAGAGGGAGTACTGTCCAGAGTGTGATTTATGTGAGCGATAGATCGGGTCAGAGCAAATAGTCACTGCAGTGTTTTAGCCCAAAAGATGGACTACCCCGAGGAAGTTTAAACTTCTGACAGGCAATTACCGAGCATCTGGAACCCTCTGATAAAAGTTCCCAATTGTGAGTTAGAGTCAGAGACTTCCAAGGGTTCTGATTCACTTACCTGGATAGTTGCCCAAGAAACTGGTTCAAAGGATTAAACTCTGCTCCAATTCTTGGGGAACTATAAAACTGATCAACCCCCTATGCACCACTGAATCCCGCCCCAATGATCCCCCAAACCCAAACTCACCCAACTCTTGCCACACCCCGACACCAGCACTAAACCACAAGTTAGTACTCATACAACAAATAAGGGCTGCATAGGCAGGAAAGCATTGGATGACCACCAGGAAGACTGGTAAGTGTGGGCAGGCAGTGCAGGAATCTGCTGTGATCACCCCCTCTCAAAAATCCCCTTCTCAAACAACCCCCTCAAACCATGCTGGGTACTGTTGCGTGTGGGGGTGGAATGGCCTCTCAGGGGAAAGCAGCATCAGCCGAGTTTGTGGCACCATGGTTGGCTGTGCTGCACAACAGGGGAGGAAAAACAGTGGGAGGGCTTTAGTGATAGGGGACTCAATTGTGTGGGGAACAATAGTATGGTAAGAGACCCTTGAATGGTTGCCTCCCTGGTGTCAGAAGATTGGGCATGTCTCAGAGCAGTTGCAGGGCATTGTTGAAGGGGATTGGTGAACAGCCAACAGTCGTTGTTGGTACATGTCAGCACAAACAACAAGGGCAAAAAAGAAATGAGATCCTGCAAGACGAGTTTAGAAAATTTGGTAATAGATTAAAGAGGAAAAGTACTAAAGTTGTAATCTCCGAATTACTTCCAGTGTCAAGCACGACAGAGTATAGGAATAGGAAGATAGGTCAGATGAATGCATGGCTAAAGGACTGGTGTAGGAGGGAGGGCCTTAGATTTTTGGATCATTGGGACAGTTTCTGGGTGGATGGGACCTGTACAAGCTGCATCTCACCAGAATGGGTATAGTAACCTTGTTAGGAGGGTTGCTTGTGATGTTGAGGGATTTCAAACTAATTTGGCAGGGGATGGGGCACAGAGTAGATATGTCAGGAGCAAGGTTGAATCAATTATAGAAGGAATGCCAGGACAGAAAAGTAGGCAGAAAAGACATGGACGGGATAAGGTAGATGGGAGGTCCAGAAAGCTAAATTGAAGCTATTTTAGTGCAATGAGCTTGACTGGTATGGCAGATGAACTAAGAACATTGATCGGCACATGGAAATATGATATGTTATAATCGCTGAGATGTGGTTGAAGGTAGGACAGGACTAGTAGCTCAGCATTCCAGAGTATAGAAGTTTCTGGCATGATAAGGTCAGGGCAGGGGGTAAGTAAGGTGGTTGGGGGCATTTGCATTATTGAGAAAGGAAACAATCACTGCAGTAATGAGGGAGGACATTGTAGAAGGGTCTTCAAATGAGGATATCTGGGTAGAGTTTAGGCATAAAAAAGGGCCAATACCTTGTTGGAATTATACTATAGGCCTCCCAACATTCGGTGTGAGATAGAGGAACAGATATGTAAGCAAATCACAGAAAGATTGAGAGAAACAGAGTTGTAGTTATGCGGGAATTCAACTTTCCTTACATTAACCAGGATTGCCTTAGTGTGAAAAGATCAGACGGGATGAAAATTTGAAAGTGCATCCAGGAGAGCTTTTTTGTGCCAGCACACAGCTAGTCCTACTAGAGAGGGACAGTGCTAGACCTAATCCTAGGGAATGAAGGCAGTCAAGTGGTTTAAGTTTCAATGGGTGAGCATTTTGGGGATAGCGACTATAAATTTCTAGGTTTCCATGTCTTTATGGAAAGGGGTAAGGATAGTGCAGAAGTTAACTGTCTAAATTGGGGGAAAACCAATTTCATTATCATTAGAGACAACAAGGTGCAGGGCTGGATGAACACAGCAGGCCAAGCAGCATCATAGGAGCAGAGAGGCTGACGTTTCGGGCCTAGACCCTTCATTAGACAGCATCTGGCAAACAGGTTGGAAGCAATGACTTGCAGGTAAGAGTGAAAGGCAAGGGCATCAGGTCCAGAGAACTCCAGATGTCAAGGGATATCAAGAGTTTAGTAGAGAAAAAGAAGAAAGCATCAGTTACGTAAAGTGCATTAAGAACAGGGGAGACCCTTTTGGAAGTATAAATTTGCAGGAGGTCATTTAAAAAAGAAAATCAGGAGGTCAAAAGGACCACAAAATATCTTTGCCAGAATGGATCAAGAAAATCTTCAAGGCTTTTTATAAGTGTATTATGAATAAGAAAATTACCAGAGATAGGATAGAAAGACATTTTAGTCAGAGATTTCAGTTTGGACGGTAAGGTTCTAGAATAGATTAAGATTTATAAGGAGGAAGTATTACATGTTTTAGCAGGCATACAGGTGCATAAGTCTCTAGGGCCTGATGAGATGTATCTCAGACTGCTATGGGAGGCAAGGGAGGAGATTGCTGGGGCCCTGAGGATATATTTAACACTTCACTGGCCACAGGTGAAGTGCCAGATGACTGAAGGATAGCTAATGTGGTTCCTTTGTTCAAGAAGGGCACCAGGGATAGGCTAGTTAGACTGATATCAGTGGAAGGGAAATAATGGAAAAAAATTCTGAAGGACAGGATTAATCAATACTTGAAAAGGCAGGGATGACCAAGGATAATCAGCATGGATTTGTTATAGGGTGATCCTGTCTGACTAATTCAGTTGAGTTTTTTTGAAAAGGTGACTAAAGATATTAATGAGGGTAATGCAGTTAATGTAGTTTACATGGCCTTTAGTAAGGCATTTGATTAGGTCCCACATGGAACGCTTGTCCAAAGGTAAGAGCCCATGGAATCCAAGGCAAGTTGGCAAACTGGATCCAAAATTGACTTACAAGTAGGAGGCAGAGGGTATTGGTGGAGGGTTGCTTCTGTAATTGGAAACCTGTGACCAGCGGTGTACCACAGGGACCGATCCTAGGACCCTTGCATTTGCTAATTATATTAATGCCTTGATGTGAATATAGAAAGAATAATTAGTAAGTTTGCAGTTGACGTGAAAATTGGTGGTGTTGTTAATACTAAGGAGGATGGTCTCAGGCTTCAGTCTGATATTGATCAGCTGGCAAATTGGGCAGAGCATGGTAGATGGAATTTAATCCTGATAAGTGTGAGGTGATGCGTTTTGGCAAGTTTAATAAGGGAAGGACATATACAGTGATTGGTAGATCCCTAGGGAGGACTGAGGAACAAAGGAGCTTGGTGTACAAGTCCATAGATCCACAAGGCGTCAACAACATATACAGGGTAGTGAAGAAGGCATACAGAATCCTGGCCTTCATTCACCAGAGTGTAGAATATAGGAGCAAGGATGTCTTTGATCCAATTTTATAAAACGTTGGTTAGGCCACAGATGGAATACTGCAGTTCTGGTCACCACACTATTGGAAGAACATGATTGCACTGAGAACAGTGCAGAGGGCATTTACCAGGATGTTGCCTGGGGTGAAAAATCTCAGTTATGCGGGGATACTGGATAGGCTGGGTTTGTTTTCCTCGGAACAGAGGAGGTTGTGGGGGACTGATCGAGGAATGCAAAATTATGAGAGATATAGACAGAATAATCTGTGAGGATCTCTTCCCCATGGCAA